TCTCATATTTGTACAGAAAAGTTTTGCTCGACAAAACGTGTTATTTACTTTTGCATGACAGGTCTTTTTAAATTTTTAAAAATAGTTTCTTTTTTGCAACAGCAATTTCTCTTATTGTAATATTTCATTCAGTGTTCTACAATAATGTTAAATTGACGCTGTTCCAAGAACTGTGCTAAAACCGCTATTTTGTATTATGATACAATCTTCAAAATGTTTTGACAAAATTTTTACTGATAATTGTTTAATCTTATCCTAGAAAGCAGAGATGGGCAGTTCCGCTCTAACGAAAATAAAAGATCGTTGTTTTATTGGGTCCTTCACATGCTAATTTTTGTACTAATTAATAACGCTCATATTTTGTTCTGAATGAGAAAAATGAAAAACTACAGTTCATGGTATCCGTCTGATATATTCTCGCTTCAGCTCCAGGCATTTGTTCTGTCGCTTCACTCCGGAATTGAAGTTGTCCATCTCTGCTAGAAGAAAAATTGTCTCGTTATGATCGATCTAATGGAAAATATGCATTTAATCCTCGCTCTACGATCAATTAATTATGTTTTATTTTTTCAAGAAATAGTTCCGATTAATCATTATTATTTCATAATAACAAAAAAATTCTGTTTCTATGTTGATCTTAATTTGAAAGAACTGATTGAAGGGCAAGGATAGTAATGAGTGATGTAGTGTATAAGCCTTTGTTTATCAAGACTAATTCAAAAAGTAAAGTAGTTTTTGTACTCTTTGTCTGTATGATTTTTTTCAAGATTCCGGATGCTATCATTCATAATGTTTTTTTTTTTTGAATGAAAAAGAACTTACTAATATCATCAAATTTAACATGTGGTCTATTTTCGATGACTTCATCAAGAATATATGAAACAAGTTTAGGTTCAACATTGGGTAATTTAAGTGATATTTGTTGATTTTGATTTTGTATTGATAGTTTCTTAATATTTGATGTTGATGGAAGTTCTCTTTTTCGATTCTAGAAAATAATTTTATATATTTAAAATATAAAATGAAATAACTTTTTTTTTTTCTTTTTTACATTGATAATTTTTGAAGGTGGTTCTTTTAATTTAGGAGTTAAACGTGTCGATGAGGAAGATGTAGAAACAGGTGACATAACACGATAATGACAATTAGATGAAGTAGACTTGAAACACACAAGCAAGAAAAGTAAACTATGAAATCAAAGCTTGATACGATACTCACTGAAGATGCTGAAGCACTACTACGAGGTCGTGGTGGACGTTGAACTTTAATTGGTCGAACATTAGCTTTAATCACCGGATTGGAATCCTTTTGAGTTAATTTTTCTGAAAAGCAATAATTGTATATCAAAAAAAAATATCACTGAAGATGCGTATCGCGCCTAAACAACGAGGCGAAGCCGCCGAATGGTCATTTGAGAAAATTTTTTCTCATATTTGTGAACACTCGCGTATGAACAACAATATAAAATTGAAAATGCTACAAACGAATATATAAGATGCTAACAATGCAGAATTCAAACAAAAAGTTTTTTTAGCGTATTTCATTTTTTTTAATAGGCTTTTCTGATATTTTTAAACTCTACTTTGATAAGTTTTGCTACCAAAAAACAATTTCACTCAAATTTCGAATTGCGAACACCTTAATTACGTAAAGATATAACCAAATGTACATACATACTTATAAGGTATTCGTTGTAATCTTAACTTATTTTTTGAAATAAGCTGTTGTTACTAATCACAAGAATATTATTCTATTCGATCTATGTTGGGACCCATTTTTTCATTCTCTAGAACTGCAAGAAGGAAGCAATTCATATATTCTCATGAGATGTTAGTGCTATATAATCGCTAATCGTATATCAAAAAACGTCTGTCACGATCTGTGAGGCACAGTGGACAGAAAAAGGAGATCAAGAGCGATTTCCAAATCACTTTTGAATCGAGGAAAAAGCCGTGGTCCCCTGGCAGATTCACCTAAAAAATCAATTTTCAAATTTCTACTTGAAACTTTACCAAGAGAAAGATCTCAATAAGACTAGTTTATTCTGAAAGTTTTGGATTTCTACTATCGCGAGATACGAATATAAGGAAAAAAACTATTCTTTTTTCACAAATGTTAAATGTTCATATTTAAGGATAGGAACAATCAAGAAATTTGAAACTTTCAAGATTAACTAGTCTCATTGAGATCTTTCGTTGCGGAAAGTTTCAAGTCGAAATTCGAAAGTTGATTTTTCAGGTGAACACGGTGTTATGCTACAAAATGCCAAATATCTCGGACAAGGATTCAATGACGCATCCACCCAAGATAGATGTGATGATATGCTCTACCAAATAACAAATTTAAATTAAAGTTTCAAGAAATGAATTGTATTATTGGCTAGTAGCTATTTTTCACTATACTAGACCATAAAGAACTTTAGTAAATCCCAATGTCTTGTAATATACAGTAAATATATAATACTGTATAACTATACAATAAATCCTCAATTTAAAACATATATTTTACTTATATGGTCCCATTAATAATATTCACCTACTTTACAGTACCTGCTGCTTAACAGATGCTTTCACTATCCAGCAGTACTCAGGATGTACTTAAATGCAGCATCAATGCTAGCTATGATATGGGTTCAGATTTCGACAATCGATTTTGTCGCCTGGCTGTCCACTGTATGAGGGAGTGAGTTCAAATTTCACCCTGATACACTTCAACATTCCTTTTAGATCGAGTTTCACACAATTTAGGTTCCAGACGAATTGCTATCAGGATAATTTTCAATCAATATAACTAATGATTTACTTTATAAATTCAATAAAATGAAGTGATAGGATGAACGGTATCTAATAAAAAACCGATTTGCTTAACGTTTAGCAGGTAGTATGATAGATGCACGGCTGTCCGGTGGACATATAAAAAGAAAGACAAGCATTGGACAGAGCACATCTTTGCATGAAACCATAGACTTACGTAAAACTTCAACTCGTTCATGAGCCATAGCTAAATTTCTACGCATTTTTGTACGTAATTCTATAGCACGATTATCTATTATTGAAATAAATAATATAAAATAATAGTATTTTTGTTTTTGTGTGTTTTACCATTTGGATCAATATTTACATTTATTGCTTGTTCTAATTCTTCAATACCTTTTTTATATAATGAAATAGCCAATTCATAATTTTCTATTTTTGATAAATTGAAAAACAATAAGGAATTTGACAAAAAAAGAAAAGAAATAATATACTTGATTGTTCATCACATTCTAATGCTTGACGTAGATATTCAGCAGCTTGTTGTTGATAATCATGTTGAATTTTATATGGTTCATTTTCCATACTGAAATATTGACTAAACCAATTAGATAAACTTGAAAACATTCGAAAACATTAGCAATAATTTTCTTTTTTTTTCTTTTATATAAATATTGAAATATTTGTCTAAAATACAAAAAATAAATATTATATATTAAGAAATTTTTTAAATTTTATTATGAAATTCATTCGAATTAAATAATTAATATTGATTTCGTAACAGAAAACAAATAATTTGATGATAATATATACACATGTGAGATATATGTACAATCCAATGAAACGTTATCGAATAATAATTCATAATATTACCGACGATAGATGTCGAAAAATACTAAGACGCGTATACATACAATATTTTTGATATAAAACCTTATCAATTATTAAGACACGAGACTAACATAGAAAACTTTCTTTTTTTTTCTTTCTCACATTTCAATAGTTAACATCGATTATGAATTAGAATTTAGATTAACTAATATTTATATTAATTCCAAAAGCTACTAAAAGACAAAGAACAGTAGAGAGGATTCTTTTTTTTTTGTTTTTACTAAATTAAATTTTGTTTTGTTGTTGAAAAAATCTTTTTCAATTTTAATCTTTTAAATGAACAAGAGAATAAACAATCAGACTTTTATCTAAGACTAATGAAGAAACAAATGTTCTTCATTTCACAGCAAACTATATGTCAACTCTCTAAACTGAACACCTCTGTACACTAAACACTTTTAAATGGTTCCGACAGTATTCACAACCCAGTGAAAAATATTTATCAAAAAAAAAAACGCCAAAGAATGCGTTCCACTTTAGTTGAAAACTTTAAAAAAGTTAAGGTTTTTTTTTGGAACGCGTCTTTGGTCATTGTCACCTAGATTCATATTCCCCACAAGAATCGTTGAAGAGAAGTAAGTGAAGTTAACATCTGATTCGTCGAGAGATTTGTTTTAGTACAACTCGACGAGCTCTATTCAACGGTGTACTCCGATTCTTCGTAGTTCAAACTATTATTCGAAATATATTTTTTGTTTTAGAAATCAGGACTGCCAGCTGTTGGGTACAAGTCATCGATGTTCCACCATTTTTAGCGTCACTTTTAATGTGTTGTGCCTCAAAGCTGTTAATTTTGAATCAAAATCAACGTTGAATCCAGATGAAGCGTTCAACAATTTAGAAGAATGCTGGAGAATAAATTCTTTTTTTTTCTAAGAATGATATTAGAATGTCTGAAATGCGTTCATTAGTTCAAAGACACCATTCTTAGGTATTTCTCTTGAGAAAAATCAAAGAAAACAATCTCATTTTGATAGAACTCTATCCTGACCGTTTCAAAAAAGAATGGATAGAAACTGATACTATTGGTTTATGGAACGGTTCAGAATGCTTTATGGCTTTTGAGTTGAGACGAAAGCATTCCGTAATAATGCGGAACAGGAAAGAATGCGTTCCTTTAGATCGTATTAATATCTAGAGTAAGTGAAAAAATTTTCTCTTCAGTTCTTTGCATTCTTAAAGTTTTCGATTTATATCTGATTGAAATTGAACATGTCTCATTGATTTCGATAGGCACATTTATTTTCGAATTTTTTCAGTTATTTTTTTTTTGTTTCGTTTCAATAAAGCAATATTTAGCAAAAAAAGAGTAACATAGCAGCAATAACAACAACGAAAAGTTCAGTCAAAAATCGATTAAGATGTATACTAAAATGAAAGATGATAAAAAATCTTATTAAAAAAAAAATTTATAATTTTTCTTACAATAACAAAAACTTCATAATTTTCGAATGCAATATAAAATTTATTCGACGGACGAACTTCAATTAAACATTCATCAGATGCTGTACCTAAATAAAAGAAAATATATAATAAAAAAAAAAAAAGAACTCTATTTAAACATCTGATAGAACCTGTACTTCGACGTTCATGTTTAAATCTAAAAAAAAAGAAGAAGAAATTAATTTATAAGATTTTTCTTTTTTTATTCATACTTAGGCTCAATTTTGAGATAATTATCATCATTATGATTTCGTCTCATAGCCATAAAAAGTTGTGTAATAAATTCACATGGATGATCAATAAGAAAAATCCAATCACCCTTAAAAATTAATTTATCAATTTAAATTTCTATACAAAATAAAAAATAAAAAAAAAAAACTAATTAGATTTTACTCGATCTTCACGTGTTTCTCTTGTATGAAGACATATAAAACCATCTTTACATGGTGTACAAGTAATACCAAGAATATCTTTGAGAAAAAGAGCTTCTTTTGGATATGGATCTTTTTTTGTTATAATATAAACTTGTTCTGATGTTAAACATAAAAGTCGAATATGTTGTTTATAACCTCGACGATCAATTTTAATCATTTTTGTTGCATACTATAAAGAAATTATTCGATAGAAGTTTTAGCAAAGAAAAAAAAGCAACCACAATTATCCATCTCAAAATTAGTATAACAGATAATGCTCATCGATTATCTAGTCACTGTGTTGTTCGACACGTATTCACAAGGTACTGTATGCAAATCTAAGTATTATGACCATGAGCAAGTTACTAATGGCTGTGTATCTCGGATAACTCATCTGATAGCATGCGAACTACGTCGCTCTGATAGCATGGGAAGCTCAAGCAATTGAGCACAAGAACTCAGCATTAAGTTGACTTTCTGTTTAGAGCTACGAGTAAATAGTATTAGTTTTAGGGAAGATATCGTGCTGTTGTATCTGTTGCTAGGTAGCACACTATAATATAAGGTAGCTGAATGGTAGGATTATTCTTCCTTCTGCTTCTTCTATCAATTATCATAGTGTTTTTTTTTTTTATCTTGAAAGTATGATCAATGATTGAAACAGCAATATATCTACAGGAGAAGTTCGAATTTAGTTAAGATTCTAGAAGAAGAATACCTATTATGGATAAATTTTACGTCAAAATTACATATTTCGAACATAGAATAACAAATAAACTAACAAACTAATATAAGATGATTTAATTTGATTTATAGATATTTCGAAAGAATGAAAGTTTATTTTATGAACACCATTATTCAATAACAAAAATCCGATGCTCCGTTTAAGCTGTTCTCTGTAATATCAGACATTTTTATTAATAGAAGATGACTATTATGTAACCATTAGCTTACAAGAAAAATTCTCCAACTGATCAATCGAGTATGTTCATCATGTAGATTCTACTGAGCTATGAACATCCTGGAAAAAAGTTCGGCTTCTTAGCATATTGCTGAGAAGATACTGCATTTTTACGTTACTTATTAAGTCAATACCGTGGTATCCTTCAGAAACACTAGGAAAACTGATTTTTGAATTTTGACTTGAAACTTTGCATAAATTGAAATTATAATAGAAAAAGTTTATTGTGAGAGTTTTAGATCTTTTAATTTTCTTCTATGTTGTAATTAGGAATTACAAAAAGATTTGGAACTCTCATAATAAACTATTTATATTAAGGTTTATCTCTATACAAAGTTTCAAATCAAAATTCGAACAGTTATTTTTCCTGGTATTCTTGACGGCGGCCACGACATTGAATTAAAAAATACTGTAACAATCTCATATTTCTGAAGTAATATGTGAAGGATCCGAACTCTTTTCGAGGTATTCCTAGGTCATTAGAACTACATGATACACATAGTTTCGACTTAAAAGCAATTAATCAGTTGAAGAATTTCTCTCGTTAATATGTATTTTTCTTTTCATTAGCTAATTAAAATAAATAACGTTCATTTTCTTCATACATAAACAAAATATGATAAGCAACATAATCAAAAACAAAATCATTTCATACTTATTTAATAAATCTCACTTAATCTTTTAATTAGATGACTCTTTCGTAACAACATGATATAATACAGATTAGTAAATGATAGGAAAAAAAAAATTGTTATTTTCATTGTACAAGAAAAATTTGAGATTTACAAAATAATATTTGATTAATAAGTAACATATATGTATCAATATCTTTCCTATTCTTGATATCTCGTTTATACGAAACAACAAAAGTTCTATTATCATTAAAATAATACATATAATGTCTTCTACAGGTATTCCAGAAAACTCAATTAAGTGCTAGCATAGGAGATACTGTACGGACAACACACAGACGAGGCATCACACTTGATGTGAGTGTCGCGGATACACGGACACAAGCGGTCACACACAAAATAAAGCAAGTTAAATATAATTGAGCATCTGAAATACTCACTAGAAGTTGTTCTGATGAGAGAAAATATTTTTTCTTTGCAATTTCATATGTTTGCATTAATTCTTCAGCTAGAAAACAAAATTAATATACACAAAAAAAAAACCATATGATCTATTAACGAACGTATTCGAACTGATTCCATATGAAGATCATTTGATGTATATGCAGTCTTTTTTCCTTCAAATAAACGTTGCATAAGTGGTTTTTCTTTCGATTGTGCCTAAAAATAAATAATCTAATTAGTTATTTTTTTTCTTTGGTCTCACAATATTTTCTTCTTCTATGTTAGAAGAATTAATAATAATAACATTGATTTCACTATTAGGAGTTAATGGAACTTCTGTATCAGTATTATCAAGAATATTATCAAGTTCATTGATAACAGCATTTGTTTCTTCTATAGGAATTGATTGAGATTTTTCAATTAATTGAATTGGTTGAGTTATTTGTATTATTTCAATTGGTTCAGTTTGTGATTCAGTATGAATAGTATTAATAGATGATGGTATATTAGATAATGGTTGAGATGTATTTGATAATAAAAGATCATTCATAAAAAATTCTGTAAATGTACGTCCAACATTTCTTGCTAATGATTGTGTTTGTGAATTTCGAATTATTGATTTATTTGTTGAATTTTGTTGAATAAATTCATTTTTTTTCTTCAGAATTTTTTTAGTATTTAGAGATTTTTCTTCTGATGATAATCGTGTTGGTATTGGATATGTTTCTTTAAATTTATTATAATTTTTTAAATGACGCATTATTATTTCATATTGAGCAATAGTATCATCTAATGTATTTCGTTGTATACAAGCAGATGTATCTGATGTTGTACGTTTAACAATAGTTTTATTCTCTAATAAATTTATATTATCATTATTATTATATGAAAGATAATCAATAAGAGTTTGAAATGGTGTTTGTGTATGAATACTATCAAGACTTTCTGTTCGAGAATGATATTGTGCAATATTTGTTTTCATTAATATTGGTATTATACTATCAGATGCACGTCTTAATGAACTAAATATAAGACCACTTCGAAATACATGACGAGCTAAATGCCAATGACGAATACCATTACTTTTTACACGAATAATAGAAGTTTTCTTTTTATCATTATCAAACATTTTAATAATACTTGGTTTAGGTGTTATAATTGATTGAGCTTGATGTTGAAAAATTATGGATGATGGTGGTGAAGGTAATGGTAAATAATCATCCGTCTCATTAATTGATGATTGTTCAATTGATTCAATATTGGATGGTTCTAAAATAGAGAAAAAGAATAAAATTTGACATTAAATAGGAATACACAATCAGTTAACTCTATCTATGTTTAGTAAGAAGCATAGAACTGATCATTGAACTTAAAATTAATTAGAATAATTTTTAGATTGTCTAAAGAACATTTATTTTCTTTAAAATCTATCTAATATCGATTCGTATGATATTCATTTTAATTATCTTACTTTCATTATCATTCATAGTCTTCGATTCATTGTTGATTATTGTTTTATCAATATTTGTAGGAATTTGTATATTATCTTGGATGAATTTTTTCTGTGATATCTGTGAATATGATTGACAAGTAACTACGTTTTGTTTTATTGATTTTTGTTCTTCTTCTACTTTTTTAGTCCACATATTTCGAAGTGTTTGAACATTTCCATGTTTATTTGTTAATAGATCATTATTCATTATTCGATTTTCTAATAGAAAATTTTTTTCTTCATATATTCTATTTTACGATATGTGATCAAAATTAAAACGTGCATCAACATGTATATATAGAGAAAATATTTAACATTTTGCTATATTGACTCGAATAATAACAAATATGTAATCTGTTAATTTTAGAGAAAAAAGAAAATAAATATAAATCAACAAAAGAAAACAGATCGTGTTGTAATGAAATAAATCTTGATTAATGAACGATGCATTTTTTTTTTGCACATATGTGGTCTATTGTTTTTTTTTCCTCCTCATAAAAATGAAGATAATATAATAGAGTACATTCTCTATATATTAAAAGAAAAAAAACATAATTTAAAGTGAGAAAAACCATCCATGTTAAGTAGATAAATGCAGATGTCAAAAAGTTTTTTTTATTCTTGTTTTTTTTTCCTGGCTGGATTTTATCACAGAAAAATGATTGTATCATATGGTTTAAATTTTTTTTTTTCATTATTATTAGCTTATTTCAATACTACGTAAAATTATCTATATTGAATTCTATGCAGAAGCAAAAAAAAAAGCAGATAATGACGACGTTAACAAAGCATAAAATTTGATTAATTATATACGTGGTAATTGATTATTAACTGCTCGATAGATATCATCTAAAGATACAAAAAAAAATTATTAAGATTTTAATAAAACAAAAAAAAAAAAGATGAATTATTTAATATACCTAAAATATGAGGTGGAGCTACCGATGTTGTTCCATTACTTGATACAACTTCTGTAATCCATTTTGGTTGTTGTTGTTGCTGCCCTAAATTGTTGATTCCACTACCATACTGATTTCCAATTTGAATATCATTAAATTGATCATAATTAACTGGACCATTATCCAACGGTCCATATTGTTCATATGGTTGTTGTTGATATTGTTGTCTTTGTTGTTGATATTGTTGTTGATATTGTTGTTGTTGTTGTTGTTGATATTGTTGTTGTTGTTGTTGATATTGTTGATATTGTTGTTGATATTGTGGTTGACGAGAAGGAGGAGATGAATATGATGATTGGCTATTACGAACAACACGTGTAAGATATTGTGGATTCGTATTAATATAAGGTTGATTTGGTGGAGCTTCTCGAATAATTATTGGTGGTGGTGTTTTTTCTCGAGGTGCTCGTGTACGTATAACAATTGGTGGAGCTGCAGCTGCTTGAGGTTCTCGAACTTCTTTTATAATTAATGGACCTGGTGAAGGTGGTGTTGGAGGTCGAACTAAGCAAAGAAACGAAATTCAAAAAAAAAAATGATGACGATGAAACCATAATTTTTGTTTTTTTTTTTTTTGGTTTCTTACGATATCGAACAATGACCTGTTGTTTATATGTAGGCATTTCAACAGGAATTTGTTTTCGAATAACAATTGGATTTGGATCATAATTTATTTTATATTGATCTAATGGAAGTTGACGACCATTTTGAACTAATGATGGATGTAAACCTGTTTCTCTTAATTCTTGTTCACTTAAACCTAATGTACGAACATCAAAACCTTGTTGACCAGCTGTTCCAGCAGTAACAAATGCACCTGTATCATCAGTATTCATACTATTATTATTAATTAATAGATTAGAACCTAATCCATTATCAGTATGTGCTGGTATTGAATGAGGTCCAGCATGAATTTCTCCATGAACAGAATGTAAAGATGTATCTCCATTTGAATAAAGACCAGATTGTTGTTGATTCCAATCTTAATTATTCAAATAAAATAATTAAAATTAAAATTAAATGAGAAGAAAAACTTTTACTACATTCATAGTTCGATTTCATGTTTTCTTTTGTATCGTTTTATTTCGTAGATAAAATTTGAACTGAACTTTGTCGTATATATGAGTATATCGAAAGTTGATTTATTTTATTTATATATATATGTAATGTTCGGTCATCTGTAACTATCGAATGTTCTTTTCGATCGTTAGACTATTATTCAATACGGCCTATGTATTACATAAAAAGCAAAACAGATATTATAATGAATGCGTAGATATACAAAGGTAAATCACGCAATATGATATATATAGATATGTATATATAAACTATCATAAGAAAATAATTGTCTATTACTTGTTCATAGATTTGATTAATCAGTTCATGAGCTATTCACGTAAATCTCCAAGATTAACAACGAAATCGGAATTTTTTTTTGTAAATTTCGTAATGACGTTTAGTAATTGATAATAGATAAATATAATTGTCTCGAAATAAAAAAAAAAGATAAAGATCGACATTTTTTTTTTGCAATAAATTCATTGTTTTTACATTATCTATTTTTATGCAATTGGTTTAATCGATATTTGTACATGATCTTCTATCAAATATACTGAGAAATTTACCATTGTTTGTTCATATTAAAAATACATGTGTTCCAATTATCATAAATATCACTAAGTAGAAATCATGATTATAATTAAATAATGTTTTTTTATGAATCATAGCTGCATTATTTTGAATGATGTTTTACTATTAATGAAATCATTTTTGATAAATGGTATAGTAAAAATTAGAAGAAAAAATCCTATGATTTAGATGTCAACTGGAACTCTGCGTAATGTCTTTAAATTCTCTAGAGAAATTTTTCTAACACTTCGATATAAAGCAAAATATTCTATAACTGACTAGAAATAATATACTGCGTAATGAGCCGATAAAATTGCGTACTAATTGATTTTTGTTTTACTCTATAATTCTGTCTAAAAAACAGAATGATTCAAAAAAAAATACTTTTTTCAATAACTTTCCTCATTTAATTCTTCGTTTTCCATGATTTACTTATGGAATCGATAGGAATGAGGTCTTAGAGTGCCGTATAAGAACGTCGAATAAAATTATACTATTGAAAAAAAAAAACAATGACCTTGTTCTTCATCGTATTATACGGTATAATGAAATTACGCATTCTTTTTATATGCAATAGAAATAGCTTTATAAGTTATAATGAAAGAAGACATGTGATATTTATTTTGTTTTTCGATCATGATTATTGATATTTTGAATATGAATTATTTATAAAAATGATAAACGAGAAATTTCATTTCAATCACATATTCATTTCGTCAGTGTATACAAAAATATAACATATTTCATAAATAGAAAGTCAACACATTTCTTAATCTAAGCAATTATTTCATAATAGTAACTATATCTATTGATTTTCTCTAAATCAAAACTTATACAAAAAGAAAATTAATTTGAAGTGGAAATAATAAAGATTCATTATGACCATGTACATATATACGTCTATAGATGAAGACATAAATATGATATTGACATGATAGTGAAAATTGTTCGTAAAAACTGATAGTAAAAAATATTAAGATAAAATATTTTGAAATAAATTATTAGAAGATTAATCTACAAGTATTTCACACACTATCATTGTTTGCCGTTTTTCGGTTTAAGAGAAAATTACTTCTCTCACGCTTATTCAATGCATAATCAAAATCAACAAAAAAACATTATTCAAAATATTTATCTACAGAACTTTTTTTTTCTATTTAACCATTGTCATTATTGCGTTACTTACACTAGCATCACGTGTATTCTTCAATACAGACAATATTCATTCTTTCTCTTTTTCTTCCGCTTATAGAGAACTAATGAATAATTTATCTTAGACAGTCAGGAAAATGCAAAATATGTTGCATTAAAAAAAAAAGACGTCTTTTTTAACTTTAAACATAGAAATAGAGATAAATGCATGGAAAGATAGCCCGAAGTTTGAACTGCTTGAAAAATGTGCTGTTTTCAGAAAAAGCAGGAAACATATTTCGTTATTTGTCTGTTTATGCTTTTCTAATCGTGCATGCCAGAATTCTTAAAGAAGCTTCATGATAAACAATCTTTTTTGTTTTTGAATTAAGCTTTGCTACTATTATATAAAAGAGTACCTTTATAATTAAAGCGTCATTTTTTGAGAGATTGAACTTTTCAACCTATTTTTTTCTTTAAAAAGTAAGAATTTAGAAAAAAAAGGACTCTGTCATGTCATGAATCATGATATGTTCTTGTAAATAAAAATAAGATTAAGTATACAGAATGAAAGCGTACAGAGAATATTGGACTGCTCAATGAACTATTTTTCACTCTTGTTTATTGAATATTTCATGAAAGCATCATGATAGACAACTGAAAATTTTACCATAGTCTCTGCATTACCGCCTTAACATAGCCTGAAATCTTCATGCTATTTGAATATACCTAGTCCAAGGTCGATTTTTGAAGGTTGAGCGTTTGAGAATATATAAAACTAAAAGTTTTCAGCAAAGAAGGAATTTCATTTGCTTGCCGATGACTAAAGATCTTTTTTTAATTAATGCTTAGTCGTATTTCTAATTTGCATTTTGATAAAATCTTTTGATTTTGATTCTGTTGTTGCATTTATTTGTTTTAATATTTATTCAATCTTTGATTGATCAATTTAAATAATACAAACAAAAAAAAACACAAAATACACTATTGAGAATGAAAAGTCATGCAATGAGAAGTTCATTGGAAGAAATAAGACCTATATTGATTTATCATGTGAATATAAATTCATATATCAAACTATAAATATCATTTTGATTTAACCATTCTAAAACCAAAAAGAAGTATTTTAATTATTGGAAATACACTGGCAATGATGATTTTATATATAAACAAACCACCTACAAGTGAAAAAAAAGAGATATTAGTCACAGTAAAGAAAAGACTACACTGCTATTGCAGTGTGCTAAACAAAAAAAAAGATATACATAAAATTCTTTCTTCTTTCATTCTAAAAAATGTATCTGCTTCTTTCGAGAATTCTTGTTTTTCATTATATAGATCGCAAACTATTCAATATATAAAGAGAAGAATGAAGATTACTTTTGTCAATATTAATTTATGTATTACTAACAATAATTAATAATATAATAACTAGTATTGTTAATTAATTAATCTAAGATATAATTGAATTGCAGTCAATAAATCAAACTCTACATATCAAAAGTAAAAAAGTAGAATGAAGATCCATGAGAATATTTTCTTCTTTGCCAATAAAAACTTGTCAGATGAACTTTGATTTCGATTATACTATCCAGTTCTTCAAGTGACATTGAATATGGACAATCAGCTTAAATCAAGATAGACATAATGTAATAGAAGAGTCGTTAGGACCAGTTTTTATGCATACAAGCAACATCAACAAACAGATTTCTAAATCCTGACAAATCGTATAAAATAACAATATAGATAAGCACGCAACGGAAAGCAAGAGCAAAAAATTATAATAATAAGGATAGCAATTAAAAATATCTTTTCGTACCCTTAAACAATAATATTTCTGTACATGGATTATAATCATGTGAAGAAAGGTCTTTCGGACAAAGTCAAGGAAATTCTGTCTCTAAAACCAGGTGTTTTAGAAAATTTGGATAGTTTCGAATTCATTTTTTTATAATATCTATTTCAATCATCATCTCTTTTGTATATGCTGGCACCATGCAGCAGGGCTACCGAGTTTGAGAATGTCGAAATGGAAGTATCTATCACCTGTGGATCACTAACGGCTTCACACACAGTACTACTAAATGGGATGCCGTTTAGGCAAAATAGTTTCAATGTAGTCAAGCATACAAGGAAAAAGAGAATGTCCACGAATAATGAAGGATCAGGCATAAACTGGTATCAGAGGCAATAAGAATCTGTCGTTGAAAAGCTACTTTTTTGAAGGTCAATGGGAAATTGACTTGTTTCATCTAAATCTGTTTTGAAATATGTATTATAGATGATAGAGTCGGAAATATTAGTCCTATTCTGTGAGGAATTTTGGATGCATCCCAAACATCTCGTAAATATAAACGTTTTGACAGGGCACTGAAAAAATTTTCTTCCAGTTCTGGAATTTATGTTTGTTCGATATTATAAAAACTTTTCGAATAGTTGAGTCAGAGATTGATTCAAAACAGGAGTAATTATTTGAAAAATTATCGAGATAATAATATGTATCGACGATTGGAATAGAGTAGGATAGAAGCTTTTGAAGTAGATTTGTGTGTTCATATACAGCAATTGGAAAAATAAAAAAAGAGTTTCCCTGATATTTCATGACGTAGAAGACACGGATAAGCGAAAGATATGTCATCATTTTCAATTATTATATTTGTTTTCAATAAAATAAATATGCGGAACTTTTAAAAACAAAAATAACGTATTTTTTTTCTAAAAAACATTTCAGAAAGTAAGTTATTTTATTTTTGTGAATTGAAAGAAAAAAGAAAGCACGCATATAGATCACTTTCAGACGATGCATTAAATCAACACAAATAGGTTATATTTCTGATAAGATGAAAAGAGAACTAGCATCTACAAACAAATGACTTCAGAAAGACTATATCTGAGCGAATACAAACAATGATATAGAAAGAAGCGATGAAATATTGTGATGATCACATAAATCTATATATGTCTGAAACTTTACTATAAACCAGTTCCAGAGAGAAAATACTATGGATTCAAAGAAAAAATATCTCGGATCTAAGGAGAACATAAATCAAAATCATAGAGAAAATAAGTCAGCTTCAAAGAGGTAATAATTCAGATCCAAAGAGAAAATGAACCGTTTTCAGAAAAAATAGTTTGAACCTAAAGAGAAGATACTTTGAATCCAAAGAGAAAATGGATCGGATCGAAAGAGAAAATAAACCAGTTTCAAAGAGAAAATACTTTAGACCCAAAGACAAAATATTTCGGGCCTAAAGAGAAAATGCATCATTTTTAAAGAGAAAATTAATCAGTTTCGCTCAACTACTAAGTAGATTAACTTTGTTGATGAAACAACAACTGGTTTTCTTTGTGATATGGATTGAAAGCTTTCTGTCTGAGAGAAAATAGATGGTTTTCTATTGCATAGCTCACTCGGTTCACTGAAATTTTATAATCTGCTAATTGCTTGTAAAGAAAATTTTCAAAGAGAAACCTATAATGGACAAAAAAAATTAGAGGGGAGAAATCCCCCAGCTTCCCCCACCTAATCGTATACGCTGGATAGTATTTATCTGTTTTTATTTCTTTTACAAATGATTCATTTTCTGTTTGAAAATTTCAAACAGAAATTAGTTCAAATTGAAGAAAAAATAGTACACATTTAGAGGGAAAATAGTCCAAACTCAAAGAGAAAATGGCACATTGAAAGAGAAAATAGTCCAAACTTAAAGAGAAAATAGACCAAACTCAAAGAGAATAGTACACATTGAAAGAGAAAATAGCGCACATTGCAGGAGAAAATAAAACACATAGGGAGAAAATAGTTCGTATGTAATGCAGCAAGCAGTTCTCCTTGCGGGTATTTAGAGAAAACTATTTTGTATCAGAAAATACAACAAGTTTGTGTTTATAAAGCTGATCGTGCTTACTAAAAGATAAAAACCGCTCTGTTCCTAAAATTCTCAGGGAGAAAGCCAATACATAAGAAAAAAATTAGCGGGGGGAAACACCCCTGCTTCCCCCCCCCCCCCCCCCTCCTAATCCTAGGGCCTGACATCAATAGATAAAATTTGAGCAATTTCAAATAATTGTTCATGAATTAATTTTGGTAAAATTTTATGTAAAAGCCGTAGAAGTCAATAAATTATCATCATAATTAAAATTAAAACAAAAAGACGAAGACTTCACCTTCTATACTTGATGTAGAATATTGATAAAGACAATTTCGAAAAGTTTAGTATTTACACGATAGTCTACAAACTTTAGAAATATCCACCAAACTGTAGTCTGATGCAGAGTGTTTCTCGTTTGATTACTCGCGTTCCTCATCAACAATTTCTATCAAGATAACGGTTGTCTTAAGAAATTAGCATAAGGATTGATTGGAATAGCAATTTTATGTCACAACTGAAGATTGTCGAATGGCATCTGGATCCGACTGAGTCCAGATATGAAGATTTATCTGATCGGATCAAGTCTGGTTCCGAAAACCTTGGACCGTGGATCTCCTGTACGAACAATCTAAGATATGTTAGTCATCGAATACAAATAATAGAGGTATAATATCTTAAATCTTCGAAGCTACTTTCAAATTTTAATATGAAAGGTGGAATAACTTATTCTATATTAGTCTATAATTAAGAGTGTAGAGTTTTCACATTGTACATCTCTGGACAAAAATATTCCCTTCGTTCTTCTTTTTTTTTTCTTATTTTAATCTTTCGTACATTTTTCGTAAAAATACCTCAGGCAATTAGCAACTATAAAATACAAATCGGTATAAACTTTCGTCTATGACATCTACAAGAACAACATTCTATCTAATATTTGAAATCATTTTTCCGAAGATCCATTTAGTTGATTTCTACAATAGAATAATGATCTTAAATACAAGTATTGTGCATGCACTATTTCGAGATATATCAGATCGACTGTAAAGCTTATAAAAAGATTCAAATCACTAGCAAGAATACATAATAATATCTATAATAGAGGTAACTTTATTTACTTATGAATAATAATATCAAGTATTTTCGTTGCTTTTAATTCTAAATAAATACAATCAAATTTTGTAATATTCGAAATTTTTGCTTCGAAACATTCCATTTTAAAATCTTCATATATTTTTTTCAAATCAAACATTAATTTATTCATAATACTAAAATTAAACAAAAGATTTTCTTTTTTTTCTTTTAAAAACAACAAAAATCTTCTTATGTTTTATCAACAATTTCAGAATAATGTTTTTGTAATGAGTAAATATATGTTACATATGTATCTTGTAAATTTTGACTACTATACCATTTTAATATAAAACTTAATTGTTCTAATAAATGTTAATTTGATTCATGTTTTAAATTTTTAATATTTAATAACATTCCAACAACTTCTGCAACTGCTGTATAAATATTTCTATAAGAATTTCTTATATTTTTTAATAATGTTTTATTAAATTTATCTTCAATTAAATCATTTATTATATTATATGGTAATATATAACTAGCTCATAATATAACAATTAATGAAAGACCTATAGCATTTTGTTTTGAGTTAATATCTTGATCAGATATTCATTTATATATAATTAATGTTGGTGCATATATAGGTTGTTTCCATAATTCAACAAATTTTTTAATTAAATCTAAATTTGATTCTATTACTATAGAATTTTTATGTGTACAATTTAGATATAAATATTTGATAAGACGTTGTACTGATATTGCATTTAATTGCCTTGATATGGCTATAGTATTCCATGATAATAATATAACAATTGTATCAATAATAAATGTATTTAAATCTTGAGAAAATTTTTCAAACATTTGATTACACATATGAATTACTAGTGTTAACCAATAACGTGCATATGATTTAAATATTCTATGTATATTATGTACAATAAGATGCATTAAAAATAATTTTATGTTAAATATTACAGTTGATTCACTAACAATGGAATGGTTTGTATTGTTTGTAAAAAAAAAAGATTGACCATATTTGGGTCAAATGATCATTCTCACTGAGAAACTAACGAATTTAAAACATGAGCTGTCCATGATGTACCTGGACAGAGATAGCCAATTTTTAAGTGAAGTACTATTTTAGTATAGAATCATTATGATATGGGCTATCCCCAAGAGGGAAAAAGCAAGACTTCAGTACATGAAGTACGATGAAGTAGAGTGAAGTACGACTGAAGTACAGTGAAGTACGAGTGAAGTACAAGTGAAGTATGAGTGAAGTATGAGTGAAGTATGAGTGAAGTATGAGTGAAGTACTGTACTTCACTCATACTTCACTCGTGCTTCAGAAGTATTTGAAGTCTCGCTTTTTCTCCCTTGATAACAAGTTATGAATGGTTATCAAATAGCGTCCCTGATGGTACATCCCCTCGTAATAGAAGCCATCGGTGCTTCTATTAAATTCAACTACGTATTTTTCAAAGATTTCAAGTACGAAAACTGTTTAAAACCTTTCAGAATTTCAGATATTTCCAAGTAATTTGGAATGATATAAGACGAAATTCTTTTAAAACTAATCATATTAGGAAAATATTGAAAAGAATGCATGAAAATGGCTTGTCGTTCCAATGGAAATTTAATAAAAAATAAGAAAATTTGGTTAAAAATCAGCGCAATGTCATATTTTTTTAGCAGCAAATACATTGAATTCATTTACTCATCGTTAGGATGTGAGAAGATAACTATTGGCATTGTGTCTTGAATTATAGATCTGAGGTTTCTCCATCTAAATCATATGTCAAAATGAAAATTCATGCATTTTTTGCGAGTGTTTTCCGAAGATGATTAGTTTTAAAAACATTTCGTCTTACACATTATTGGAGAAAAAGACCATCAGGAATTCTTCTCTTTCAATTGTTAAAAATTGTAAGTCGCTAGTTGCTGTTATTGTCAAGTTATTGAGCTTACATAACTGTCTTGCCATTACTCTAGATCAATAATCAGTGGCCTTAAGACAAGAGCATTCCTTTCTCCTATGTAATCATGTGCTTTGTAAAAGTCTGTCAAGTCATCATTTCTTCCTCGCAATAACATCATCTTTTAATAACTTTCAAATCATTCACTCCTATCATATTAACAATAAAATGACCTCAGGAATTTTCATGTTTCCATAATGAAACTGAAAAAATTTTTTTCTTTGATAAAATATCTTAGCTGAATTTGCATCAAACGTAAAAGCTTTATAAGGTTTAGCTTTTGCTTATGTACAAATTAATGCTGAGATAAGACAATTAAAAGAACTTGTTTTTAATACTAGTATTAAATACATTTTAATATCTTTTTCGATTGTATTTACATTTGTTAACATAATTTTTATTGATTTAATCGGTTTTCCATTAATTATTGAACGAATTTTGATTGTTGTTATGGGCATTTCAATATTTAAAATTTTTCTGGCTTCTTCTTCGTCTTCTGGTTTTTTAACATGTGCATAAAAATTTTTTCGTTATTGAAGAATTTAAACCAAATATATTATTTTTATTTAATATTGTCATACATATAATCAATTAAACGATATGTAGAAACTTTATAAATTAATATTGATGTTATTATTTGTAATGTTAAATCAAGTTTCATATGTAATTAATCAATAACAAATAAATATATATATTTATTATAAAAATCAATTAATGTTTCTTTTTTTTCTTTTTATACAGATGTTAATGTATTTAATAATAATTTTTCTAAAGCATTTAAACGATGTTCAATACAAAATAATGAATTTTTTCCAAATATAATTAAATAAATATAATTAAGTAAATTTAATTATTTTATATGATCATTTAATTTTATAATATAATGATTTATAGATAATAATATTTCATTTTGAAATATATGATTGTATTCACAACATAATATCCATATTAGTAATTTCAATAATATAAATAATGACAAGAATTCAAGTGCTGATAAAATTTTTCTTATAGCACTTTGACAATCATGATATTCTTGTGTACCTTTATGAAAATTCTATACTCTTTAATGGAAAACAATCAGCAATAAATATATGTAATGTACAAGAGAAATTTTAAGACCATTTTTGATGTTTTTCTTCTGAAAGATTTTCATCTATATTAATTGAAGCAAAAAAAAATGGTAATAAATCAAGTAAACGTGTTTGAAATGTTAAATTTTATTGTTTTTTCAATGAATAATGATAAATATATTTGTGATATATTATTAAATTGTTCATGTAGTATTAATAAATGGCAATTCAATAAAAAATATTCTCGTATTGATATTATGTTCATGAAAAGCTATTAGTCATTCTATTTATTCTTTTCTTGTAAAAGTAAACCTCACTCATCATTTTCCATATAGCGTAGTTTCTATATCGGTACTCGGGACATGGGGACATTGAATCCTTGGTTGAAGCGAAATCAAGAATTTTTGAGCTATTTTTTTTATAAAATACTTTATTTCGATGCTCGTGGTATGGGGAATCGAATAATTGCTTAAATGTTTAGTGTAAGCAAAATGATTGTTAAAAACTTAAAATTGTATGATTTATGCTATTCAGAATAGCAGTCGATCTATTTTTCAATTGATTGAGTAATAATTGGGCTATAAATGGATTGTTGATTATCTATTCGATAGACTTATTGTGAGAAAGTTTATCCATGTAAGATTGTAGTTTAGAGGTGGCAATGCTCATTTTTTGTGAGAGATTCGTATGAAAAAGAATACATCATTTATGTAATTGAAAACAAACAGATCTACATATAAATATTTCAAAATAATTCAAAATAAATGATGAAAGCTCAACCAATCATTTAGAATCGCTAAAATTACAAAAGTTGAATACAATAGTAAACAAACATTAATTGTCGTTTCATTCATGCTATTAACACGCATTCCAAACTCAATTGAATTCCCATGCTAACTGTGGCATATATATATATGAACAATTATTTATGAAGATGACAAGTCTGAGATATTTCTGAACAGACATTTTTCAAGAGACAGTTAACATTCAATTCTTCCGATCAATTCGATCAAAAATATAATATTTTTAGAGCATATGATATGAAAAAAATTCGGAGTTTAGAAGAAACTGTAGCAAATTCCAGAAAAAATAAATAAATCTCGGTAGGCCTTTCCATAACAATCATTTTGATGCAAAACAAGAATTTGTTTTTATCAATAAATGATTTGTCCTTGTAACACACATTATTTCTTTTTTCATTGATCGCAGTTTATAATCGTTAGACAATAAGATAAATGATCATTCAAACTGTCAAGCAAATGCAAATCGTATCAATCAAAAGCACAATGATATTACCTTGTCAGATAAGATATGAGAAAGAAAAAAACCATGTGATGATGAAGGACGTTTTTTTTACATGTACATAGATTGTTGATGACATCAAGTGACAAAAGAATATTGAACAATTTTTAATTTTAACCTTCACTTGATATATTCTGCATACCGTTCCTCTTGGTTTTATTTAAAAAAATGCTGTGAACTAGTCTATGAGAACAGATAAGGTTCAAATATATTTTATTTTTGAACCAATAGCTTTCGAGACTGAAAAGACAAAATTTTTAAAAAATATGGTATTTCAATAAGTAACAAATGCTACAGAAGAAAATACGATCGATATCACTTCCATCATACTTTCTAGAATTTTCATCGCACACCTTTCAATGTTTCTGAATCCCGACCAGTGTAAATCTATCCAAAATCTCATAATCAATTCAAAGTATAGTTGTTTTCTGATTATGATCCATTCCCAATTAAAGAATCATGCGAAATCACATGGCTACAAAACATAGACATAATTCATGTAACATCGAGAAAAAAGAATACTGAATTGTGTGTAATAACCTGCCACAAAATTTTCTTCCATCCTCAGAAGATAAAACTATACAATATCATAAAAAAAAAGGTTGACGAAGCGTCAAAGACCATTAAAAAATAATTAAAACTACAATTAATGCGACACAAACTTCGCTGAGCCTTTTGCTGAAAGTGCAATAATATGATAGTAATAAGATGATCGGTAGTGAAGTTTCGAATTACATTGATCTATCTATTTTATTGAACGTTTGTTGTTACTTTTACAGTGCTAACATTTTAGATTTAATTAATTTTAATATAGGAATAGCAACAAAAAAAACAATGAGCATCGTGTTGTAAGCCTTTCAGCATTCATCTATGCCATTGTTTATGCCGATATTATTTGGAAGATATTGTTTTTTTATATTCATCGAACTGCTACTAAGATTCGAATATAATACAAGCATTCTAATAACTTGAATGAGCGATGTACTTATTGATGTTGATGTCGATCATCAAGATAATGCCAAATAATAGATGGAATGAATGGTAATATAGTCTACTAATATCAAAAATAAGCCCCTTTTTCAATTGTTTTTTTCTCTTTCTCTTGTATTATTGTATACACATTCGTATGTTATTGTATAGGTAAATAGAGTCAATTATTTTTGTATACAAATCTAATATTTTATTCACATGTTTTTTTTTGTATTTATTTCAAAATGATGTATTTTGGTGACGCTGAGAGAGCACAAACAATAATGTAAAGAAGAAAAATATCTTCTTTAACTTTTTTCATTTTTAGAATGTAGGCATGACTAAATGTGTCTTTTTTTGAAAGCCGATTGTTTTCTGTAGTCGATGAGTTTCATACATGATTATCCACTCTATTGCCAATAATCGATGATGATGCAGCTCTGAACAGAAGTGGTAATGTCACTAAAATTTCTCGTTCGGTTGTCTAAGCTATCTATACATATAATATCAGGCACATACTTATCGTACACGGCATTATTGTATATCATAATAATCGGACTGGTACTATGTGCATGCAAAATTCGAATAGTCGGACGAGAAAAACTTTGAGTGAGATTACCGTCCAGATTTA